CCCAAACCGTCCTGTGATTCTATGAGAAGGCATACCAGAACACAAATTCTTTTCAATTAAATTTCCAAGCATGGATTGCAAACCCCGTCAGCTCATCAGACAGAGAAATTCCTCTCTCTTCAGACTGTTAATGTAAATACTCAAACATGAAATGCGTGATGCGTTTATCTTCTGTGGTTGTTTTCATATGGTGTTTAAATACACAGAGGTAGCTGAGATCTTGCCTTTTGATACGTGGGCGAACAGAACAGTTAATTTTTCTCAGCACGATATAGCAGGAGCAGTTGCATTTAGAAGAAAGTATGGGTGGGACTCCCAGCAAGTAATGACTCCAGCTTCCTTCTTTCACCTCCAAGCCCGTTTGGGAAGACTCCGATCATCCTGGAGAAATGGTGAAAAGTCCCCCATTCAGAACTTCTTTTTCAGCACTTCAGAATAGTAAGACGGAGAAGATCCTTTCATCCCAGGGTGTCAGTGTTTTCTCTTTGCTCATGACAGTGCTCAGAATCGGTTCGTTACGTGGCATACAAATACACTTTGACCCCACACGAATCATTGTTACGGGCAAGCTCCAGCCTCTTCTTAGATGTGTCACTAGATGGCCCCACGTCTGAAGCAAACATCCCAGAAAATAACTACTGTACTGGCGGACCTGCTCTGCGTTTTACAGGTTGGCAAACACACGGGGAGGTATTTCTTTTAAAACAAGACGTATCAGCTGTTGTTTTATCTGAAGTGTTTAAATCAGCAGCAGAATGCCACCTGACCTCCGCTGCTGTGTGCAGAGAGGATCGGTCTAATCTGACACAGGAAAGGCACGCTGCAGAGGTATGTGGGGTTTGCACTACATTGCACCACCCAAAAGCACCTTTGCTTGTCGGAGTAAACTATTCTCCAGTATCAGCAGTTTGCTATAACGATGCTTCCTTCCAAGAGACCGGGAAGGATAGGGTAGTTGTCTTTCTGTGTGGGTATTCCTTTTGCGCATGGTGTGGGATTTAAAAACATAACCCTCAGTCAGTAACAATTCTTTGGCTTGTTTCCCTGGTGCTAGCAGACATCAGCAGAAGTCATTGCTACAGGTGCTGGGACCCTGTTCCCAGTATGAATGGGACAAAGACTTGTGGGATTGTCACCTGCAAGTTCCTAACGCTTGGGCTAGGCTTTTTCTTGGGGATGGATCCAGGCACTGTTTGGTTGGGGTAGAAGGGAGGGACACTGGGAGTGGAAGTCTGTGTATGCATTACATGTGATTGGGAATGTGCGTATGCTATGCAAGCAACTGAAACTACCGCTCT